AAAAACTGCATCCTCAAGATTTTTTTTAACAGAATTATTAAACCCTTCAACAGCAATTTTCCAACGTTCATTTTCTCGAATCAAACTTTGATTATATTTATAAAATATACTATAAGCTTCTTTTAAACAATTAAATTTAGCTATTGTTTTGTCACATATTTGATTATTATTATTTGTTGGTGGTGATTCATCAGATATAGGTATAGGTTGTTCAAGTTGTTCAGTTTGTTTACTCATTTGTTTTTAAAAAAAAAATTACTTTTATTTTTTTTTTTAAAAAAATATCGTTAAAAATTTTTTTTTTTTTTAAAAAAAAATAAACTTCTAAATATATGTTTTAAATTCTATTTTTCTTTTTTCTTTATCGCATTAAAACATTTTACAAACAGTTAAAACATATAATACTGCATAAATTAACCCAATATTTGTATAAATCCAAAATATTAATGTTTCAAAAACAATAGCATGAAGCCATTGATTATAATCATACAGATCTTATATAATTCCAACCAAAATAATACTGTAACAAAAATACATAATGATTGTGCAGATAATACTATTATAGTATTTTTCATAAAGATACAACGCAAGTCTTATTTGAGTCTCTATAGAGACAGAAAAAGTTATTAAATGATACTACAATTAAAAAAAAAAAAATTAGCAATCAAAAAAATTTTAAAAGAATATTCTAAAAAAAACTTACAAGTATATATATTTGAAAAAGATTACTTTGAGAAATTTGCTTTCATGTTACTTTTATATGAATAAATTAAGTTACACAATTATTTAAAATTACGTCAAAATCTTAAATATTTATTTATTATTTTAATATAAAAAGAACAAATCAGACTTATAAATAAAAATTTTTATAAATACGTATCTTAAATAATATAAAAGGAACAATATTTAAACAAATTTTGAAATTATAAATAAAATTAAATAAAATAAATATATAAATAAAAATTTTTAAACACTTATTTAATTTTAAATAATTAAACAAAATTTTCTTATAAATAAAAATTTTCAAACACTCATTAGTGGTATTAAGATTGGTGATTATTAATAATAAAAAATATATTTGTTTTAATTTTATTTTTATTGCTACTTCGAATATTTGCTACAAATGGTGCTTCTATAGTTGCAGTTGGACTTCCAAAATTATATATCTAGATTTTTTTTTTTTTTTTTTTTGGTGTTAAGGTGAGGTCTTGCCTCGTATCTTTTATTAGATGTTAAGTTTTTGCCTTATATGGCTACAAATAATCTTAAGAATACTGGCTTAGACAATTTTATCTATGACCTAAACCTACCAGAGTATGCTACATTCTCACTACGTATTGGGTTATACCTGGATTTGATGTTTAAACTATATCTAGTTACCCACCACATTCACCCCATGTCTTACCGTCAAACTTTGATAACTCCCAAATTGGTTCATTCGGGTAATCGGTCCTTAATAGCCTTCCAATTTGGTATGCCTATTATTCGAAGTATTTCTAAACTGGTATACTCCTTCTAATAGGTGGCCTAAATATCTGGAATTTTAAAACTGGTAAATACAGATTAATTCTTAATAAAAATGGTCAAATCACAAATAATTATAAGGGTAGTATTTATGTACGTTATAGAAATCATTATGAAGCAGTGCATAAACCTAAAGGTGCAAATATAAAAGTTCCAAAAACTGCTGCTAGAAGTTTAAAAAGAAAAGTCATGCAAAACAAATAATTGCAATATTAATTAATTAGTTTTTATTAAATTATATTATATTTTTTATTTAAATAATGTATATTTTTAGTCAACAGACCAATTTTTTTGTATGGTTAAAAAATCATTTTTGTTTTAAAAAAAAATAAATTTAATAAAGGTAATAATTTTATTCTTTTTTTATTTTTAATAAAAATTTATCATTTATTTTATTTAAGATATCTGATCAAGACTTTATCTGGCTAGATAAAGAAACTAGTCAACATAAAAAAAATTGTTAAATATACCAATAAAAAAAAGTAGAAGATTTAATTCTTTATAAAGGTTCTAATAATAAAAAAATTAAAGAATAATTTTTAAACTTATTAAATGAAGGATAGATTAATATTGAAAATTCAATTACAAAAAATAAATTTATTAGTAATAATTATAAAGAAATAATCGAAAATTGGATTGATGTATATGAAAAATATAATTTAGAAATAAAGGATCAATTAAAATTACATCATAATTTTATTGATCCTAACAGAAATAAATTAATAATTCAAAAATTTGGTGATACTCCAAAAAATTCTTATGAATACGATTGTTATATTACTTTAATTAGTTTAATGTATAGTAAAGAAGATAAAAATAAGAAAAGAAAATATTTAGTTTTAAGTTGTAAAATGAAAATTCAATCTGATTTTTTTAGAGATTATATTAAACATTACTCTGTTGAACTCGCAAATATAATTTTTAAAAATTATTATTAATAAATTTTTATTTTATTTTTTTAAAGAAATGAAAAGTTGTAGCAGAAGTTGTAGCAGAAGTCATAGTAAAAGTTATAGTAGAAATCATAGCTGAAGCAGAAGTTATAGCAGAAGTCGTAGCAGAAGCAGAAGTCATAGCAGAAGTCATAGCCAAACAGAAGTTGTAGCAGAAGTCAAAGTCATAGCAGAAGTCATAGCCAAAGCAGAAATCATTTTGTAAGTTGAAGTCATAGCCGTTCTAAAAGTAATTCAAGATATAGAATAAGAGGATATAAACAGGCTGAAGTAACTAGAGCATCTAATATTGCTATTGCAAAATATTTGTCTGATAATAAAGTAAAAAAATTAGAAAAACAAACAAAATTATTTGCATTATTAGATAAAAATAAATTACAACTGATTCTTGAAAATATAGTTAATAGCTTAAAAAATTTTCTAGTAAATTTAGATAAAAAACAAAGCAAATATATATTAGATAATTTTAAAAAAATAGTTATCAAAGATGGTGATGAAAAATTATACGAAATATTAAATAATATAGAAATTTAATTTTTCTAAATAAAAAATATATAAATACCCATTTTCTTTTTTTTTAAAAAAAATAAATATCAAATTTTCTTTTGTATATTACTTATTTGAATTTTAATATTTGCTGCTTTTTAATAATAATCTCGCTCTGTACACTTCTTTATAAATCTAACGAATTAATCAAAATACTTTTGACTATGAAACAACTTTTGGCATTTGTGATAACAAATATCAAACTTATAATTTTGGAGCTTGTACGTTTATTAGATAATTAAAACTGGTAGCGGCAAAAAAGAAACAAACTAAAAAAATGAAACCAAAAACAACAATTAAAATAGCAAAAAAAACAACAAAACTAACAAAAAAAATAACTAATAAAAAAAAA